AGCCTCATCTTTATCGCCCTGCTTACAGAAACTGCCTCTCCAGTTAACCCTTACCATTGTAACAACTAAGGCAAAGTGCCCATCGACCTGAGTGACGTTGACTTGGCCACACCCACATGATCACATGACCACCGAGCCCCGCCTACCCAGCTGGCCATTAGGGCAGAGAACTGGTTGGTAAATTATTTGAATCCCACCACTGATCATTATACCACCTGAATACCGATCACATGACTGTGCGGGATACTATGGCAGTCATAAGCGCAAGGACTCGTCATACATCACTTTTTTTCAATGCTGTCATAACTTTGAAAGGTCACTAAAATCCGTCTCGCACTTTGGCCAAAAAAGAGGTTGGGGGGGGGGGAGGAAACAAATGGAGCTCATATAAAAGTATACCTTTAAAAGGAGAAGGTATGTAAAATCAGAAATATGGAAAATAGTTTTTTGGAATATAATTATTAATGCCACTGATATTGAATGGGGTTTGCTAAAAGGCGGAAATACACCACGCAAAATAGAGAGGGGAAGGGAGATAACGAGAAGGAAAGAGAGAGAGAGGAGACCGGAGAGAGGGAAGCAGAAGGGAGGAAAAGAGAAGGAGAAAGGGAAGGTGTGGAAAGAGGAGAGGAGAAAGAGAGAGCGAGCAAGGGGAAGTAGAGAAGAGAGAAATGGTAGAAGGAAGAAAGGAGGTAGGGAGAGGAGGAGAATTGAGACTATAATATGGTGTATGGAAAGCAGAAGCGCCAATAAAAAGTGACGAGGCTTGATGGCAAGTGGAATTGATATATTATTGAATATTCAAAAAAAAATATTTGTCAAGATGTAATGGTGTACTCTGGATTATATTATATGTTTGTTAAAAAAAACTTTGGGGGAAAAATAACCCTGAAAGGTCACTAAAAAAAATAGGACTACATGTAATTTATTAGGCAGCTGGTTTGAAGGGAGCTACCAAGAACAGCTCAGCTGTTTCCTCCCCTCCTTGCTCTGCTTTAAATAGATAATAAAAACTCTCCTTGACCTCGAGCTTTTAAAAAATGCTGCATGATGTTTCAGGATCACCCCTTAATTGCATTAAGGTGGCATAAACTTCCCTTTTGAATTCTTTGCCCTCCTTGGTAGCATGGTAAAATGTAATCAATATTTTATTGAATGTAGCCCCAATTGCCTGCTAAAAGAGGAAGAGGCCATGTATCAAGTTAATAACTAACGGAATGAATATACCTACCAACCAAATAGACCTTTTTTGCATTTTATGTTCCTTAATAACCATATTTGGAAGCAGATCATACCACTCAGTAAGTGTCCTTGACTATGTTTGCCTCTTCAAAAAGAAAAAGGATGCGACATTCACAGTTCCACAGCGAACCTTTGAGTGAACAATCCAAAGTGGGGATGTCATATCATACACGTAGGGAGGAATGTGGTTTTTTTCTCCCCCACAAAAAATGTTCAGAAGGTTGGGTGTCAGCCCTTCTTCATTCAAAAATCAGGAAAGAAAACCACAGGACTCCATTGGTAGAAATCAAGNTACAGCCATAGCTGCATCTCCATGGTCGTGCTTGTTAGGCAAATCACCGCTATTGTTAAATGAACCACAAGATTGTTAAGCAATTTTAGCTTTCTCCCATTGACTTTGCTTATTGGAAGCTAGCTAGGAAGGTCACAAACGGTGATTCATGGGATGTTGGAATTGTCATAAATATATGCTGGTTGCTCACCACCTGTCGTGCCTCCATCTGAGTCTGAATCTGCGGGGGAAGATGAGCTGACAAGAGATCGAGAGGGTGGCTCCGTTGGTCTTGAGGAAACTGGGAAAGGGCAGAGTCAGTCCGGACAAGGCTTTTCAGGATTAGAAAAGCCTGCAGACAGACAGGAGCAGGAGAGACAGAGGTCAGGCGAAGAGCAAGGACCACCCCCTCCTGATCCTAGAGAACGGAGAGAAGAGAGAAGGCGAGAACAACACAGACTGAATTGGCTACGAGGGAGAAGAGTGCACCGCCTCCCTTCACAAGGCACACCTGGGGACTGAGATGTAAGGAAGGGTGGTGTGAGGGGCATTTGTCGGGAACAAGCGTTGAATCTGTGGAGCCTCGTGTGCGTTTGCCGATGCCTGGAGATTACTGTGCTCTGTCTTGTGGGGTTTGCCTGCTTCGCTGAACTTCCTGTTCTGGTTACTGGCTTACTGGACTGCTGGCCCTGGTTATTGTTTGGCTAACCTGGCTTACTGGACTATTCGCAGCCAGAGACTGCTATAGGTGCGTGTGAGAGAGCTTTGGTCCAGGACTTGTAGTAAACATGGGGACGTTTGGGGCCAAAGTTGGAGCAATAAAGAGGAGTTAGACCTGTTCTCTGGCTGAGTTTTTTTCGTGCCACGACCTGGGTCATCATCAGTGGTGGGATTCAGCCAGTTCGCACCTGTTTGGGAGAACCGGTTGGTAACTTTCTAAGCAGTTTGGAGAACCGTTGTTGGAAGAAACCTTTTGTTTTTTCCCACTTTACAGGGCTAATCCTGTAAGAGAAGCAGGAAGGAAACATTCTGGTGTTGTTTCTAGCCTGATCTTTATTGCCCTGCTCACAGTAACTGTCTCTCCAGTTAACCCTTATTAC